CCCTCCCCTCCCCACCAGCCCGAGACCCCGGCTGCCGCTTTGCAACCCGGGCGGGGGAAGTCAGATTTCTAGTCACAAGTCCAAGGGCACAGACATATGCGCGCTCATGCACCGGCGCATCATTGCAAAGTGTGCGAATATAAGTGTGGTGGTAGGGGGGGGTCGAAGGATTTAAAAAAATCTCTCATAGTTTAGCATAATGTAGAGGAAGCAGTCTCTGAGTTGTTTCACAGTTGTCTCAAGTTGTTTCAGGAGGGCTTCTTTCTCCTCCAGTTAGATTTGAAATTCCTTGACTTCTGTGTACTGAGCACACAGTAAGCACTTAGATTCTTGTGATTTAACCGTTTGAGGATTAGATTAAACTTCCTGTATAAATTCAAATCCATATATAGGCTTGCAGAGTAGGGATATATACACAGCTCAGATTGCTGGCAAAAGCTGTATGTACAGTATTTTAGTTACTGAATCCCTTCACAGCCACACATGTGTTGCCATAAGTTTATGAACTTTGACCCCTGGCCTTTCTGTATGTCGGGTCACAAACTGACATACACTCTACCAAATCTGGCACACAGATGTGTTTGGTTTGGCACATGCTATGGTTTATTTAAAAAAATAATAATAGCCAACATTTAAGAGTTAAGAGATTTTTACATAAGAGGTCTGGATTTCTGCCTTCTCTTGAAAAAATGGAAGATATGGTTATGATGCAAGTGCATTCCCATATGGTATGGGCCGCTGGTGCCCAGTCACGTTGGCCCCTTGGGGAGCACCCGCTTAGGAGAGGAACCTTCCAGTTTTGCCGCCCCAACTGCCCCCTTTGAACCTGGCTGGCACCCCAACCCCCGATCTCTCTCTATAGTTTCTACTTCCATTTCTCCATCGTCTCAGTGACACCAGCCCCAACCTTGGCCTGACGTCTTCAAGTCACCACTGACTCATTTCCCTGCTACCACCCCCACGTCCCAGCTAGCTCCGCCCAGAGAATGAGTCCTTCAAAATGTCCCTCAGCTGGGGTTCTTCTTTTCCAGGCCCACTGGAAAAGATCATCTACTCCTTAGTTGTTAGGATCATTCCTAGTGGGACTGACAGAACAGTCTCCTCCCACGTCATCTGTCCTGGACTGAGGGATCTTTCTGAAGTATTGCTGCTATTGTCTGCCTGCTTAATCAGAATCCTTGGTGGCTCGGTTTCCTAGTGCCACAACAGCAGTTTCTAGGCTTTCTGTGAGCTGCCGATATCCTAGCATGCAAGGTTATGTGGAGATAATGCAAGAATGTTAACTCAAGGGGTAAATAGGCTATTTGGTGATAATGTAAATCAGGCCTCTAGTGGGTTGTCAGGGTGTAGATTTCATAGAACAGCACTGCCCTTGGGGCTGGGGATTTAGTTCAGTGGTCCCAATGCCTGCCTCACAAGCTCAAGGTCCTGAGTTCAATCCCCAGCACCAAAAAAGAAAAGCACTGTCCTTATAGGGAGATACCACTGAAGGGATCTGTGGTTGGACACTATCCCATTATCTGTACCTGTTGAGGGGTGATACCTATCCAAGTGTCTAAGTGTGCCATCTGCTTCCTTCATCACCAAGAATGCTAGCAGCTGTCTTTGCTATAATGGAGAAGACAGCAACACTGGGAAGTTTTAGTGTCAAGTGTGATCTGAGCTCTTGTGTTACCCAATTTGTCCATAAAAGCACATTCAACTGTCAGCAGTTTTAGCATTTTCCCTCCTCTCTTGGCAATTAATTAAATGCTCTTATGGGACTCTCTGCTCCTGGGCTGTGATGAGCGTGTTCTAATGCCTTGTGCCAGGGAGTTAGAAGAGTGCAGCTCACTCTCTGGCTAAATACATTTCCTTCCCCACTTCCGCTGCACCCCAGCCTCCCCTGCGCTGAAGGGATTTGTGTGGTATCTTGTGCTGGGACCAAATGGGAGGTGAGGCTTTTCTGAGAGACAGGCTCAGAGGTGCCCAGAGGTTGTAAAGACAAGAAAGAATGAGGGTGACCAGAGCAAAGGAACTTCTAAAAAGCTGTGTATTCCAAGCTCCAGTACTGCGTTTCCCTGTATATGGATTCCTTGACTTAGGTCATGTTGCCAAAGTTTGCCTCTAAGTGACTAAATGACGGTGAATAGGATTCTTTAGGGGGGCAGGATGGGATGAAGAAGGCCACATTACCAATCCCTCATGAAATACAGCTGAGTGGAGGGAGGCCACTTTAGTGAAAGGAGTTCGAACCCAAATCAGTCTCCCATCCTGAGATCCTGTTGCTGTATCATTTCTGTAACTGTGAAAGCCAGCATTGGTTCTAAAAGGGCCTCAAGGTCAAGCAGGTGCAATGGTGAGAGTGGAGGAGTTAGGGAAGGTGGCCAGGTCTTTAGTGCCAGCACTCAGGAGGCTGAGGCAGGAGGACCAAGAGCTCAAGGCCATCCTGGGCTACCTAGCATGTTTGAGACCGACTTGGACTATATAGGGAGACAAAAGGAATTGAGAAGAAAGGACCCCAATCTCAAACTAAATGTTGAAGAACAGACTTGATCATCATATAATTCTTTCTCTATATATGTATATATATATATATATATATATAGATTCATATTCCTTTTCAGTTATTGAAGTTGCAAAACTGCATCAACCAGGGACAGGGAGTAGGAGAGAGAGGGAGAGAGATTGGCATACATCCTCACATCGATATCTCGGCATACAGTTTAGTTCTGGAGGCTAGGAAATGTAACAGCTTTTTTTTTGTTTTTTTTTTGAGAAAGATAAAACATACTTTTCTATACATCAAGTGCCATATAAGAACAAAAGACAGGAAGAAATGTTCTTTGATAGTATAAAATGCAGGACTGTGCAGAAACGGGGATGTTAAGGTTAGAGGTGAGGTGAGGCATCTGCATAGAGTGTTTGAAATTAGTTGAGGAAAATTTCTCCACCAATATTTCAGTTTTACCCTTCATTTCTTTGTGTTGAGTACTGTATTGTTAAAAAGAGAGAGAGAGAGAGAGAGAGAGAGAGATCTTTCATGTTCTACTGAGCTTTTTGAAAAACTGTAATGTCATTTGACCCATATGCATAGTTTTGGCATTAAAGGAGTTTTAGGATTTCAGATAATCAAACCAGATGACACAAGACCCCCTCATCCCATTCACTATACCAAGGGCTCTGGATCTGCCAAACAGCAGTGGGACACTTCCTTCCTAGAGCCACATGTGGCAAAGGGACTTCACAAGGCTGGAGAGAGAGCCAAGTGCCGTAGGTTGAATTATTATTATACCCATGTCTGAATCTGCTTAGTGTCCAGCCTCAGGCCCTAGGTCTGAATTTGGATCTGTTTGGCTTGAGGCTTCTGTCAGAGGCCCAGAGGGAAAACTGTTGGGGCTGTTCCCACAGGCAGCAGCCTCCAGGGACCCGGCAGGATATGCCCCAAGGACCTAGCAGCGGGATCTAGGGTCCCTCTCAGCAGCAGGGTTTGAGAGGATTTCTCTTGCCATAGGTACTATTGTTGGAGTTTCCAAACTGGACACTCTTCGGGTAGTAATACCTTCATTCCTCACAGAATATGGAAGTCCTCAGGACAGAGACCGACAAGTCTACTTGACTTATTTCAGTAATCTTGGTTTGGTTTTGTTACCTCATTCTGTGTCAGTATCCCCTTTTATTCTGTTCCAAACATCGCTTTGGACACATCACCCTTTTTCTAGCTTGAGGAAAGACACCCACCGGAGGAGCGGAACTATGGTCCTGAGCTCCATTCTGTCTCCAGCCAGAGTGTCTGAACCCTGGAGGAGGCGATTTCTGAGGTGGGTGGGGATCTGTCCCCGTCCCGTTCATTGTGTTCCATAGCTTCCTGTACACTGCCTGTAACCCTTTACCAATCTGCCAGGCGCCTTTAAACACAAAAGGGAGGAGATGCGGGGAGGGAGTGCTGAGGAAAAACATCCCTATAAATAGCCCTCTTGAACAAAATTGTTTTCCCAATACACAGTTGTCGTTAGGCCTTGACGCCCTGTAATCTCCCTCCGCATTCTCCTCCCCTTCCACTCTGGCCTTCCTCTCTGGGCCTGGTTTTCCTCCTCTGTTCCCTGCAAGAGATGCACATGATTAGAAGTTCTGATCCCTACACACTCCTCCCAGCCCTGGACACGCAAACTGTGGGCTCAGGTTGATCTGGGGTGTGTGCTTGAGTCTAAGTTATTTGCTTCCTGA